GCCATGTGAGCAAGCCAGGAAGCAGCTCCCCTCCGTGGCCTCTGCATCAGCTCCTGCCTCTAGGTTCCAGTCCTGACTTTGTTCAGTGGTGGACTATGATGTGGAAGTGTAAGCCAAATAAACCTTTCTCTTTTCAACGTGGTCATGGTGTTTCATTCCAGCAATAGAAAGATCTATCTAAGGCAACCAGGCTGGCTTCAGATTTGTAATGATCTTCCTTTCAATTTTATTGATTTTTAAAGATAATTTTAAAGATAGAATCAATGTTTTATATTCTGTGAGACATAAATATTACCATTATTTCTATCTACTTAATAGGTATATTGTAAATGGTACCGAAGATCATTATAAAAGCCTTAGGAAAGCTGATATAAATACAGAGTTTGTTTCTGACCGCATCCGTTTCCGTTTTGTTCTTATCTCAATGGCCACCTCCAGCATTTACATTCTTCTCACTTCATGTACTGCAGTGTCTCTACCAGAAGGTGAGTTATTCTAAGACAAGTATCATCCTTTTTCACTGTGGTATCCATGGTAACCTGGACAGTTCCTGCAATATAATAATGCTCAGTAAATGTTTATTGAAAATATCAGCCAGCAGTAATAAAGAATTCATCTTTCTTATCTCATTTTCTGTTTCCAAAATGAGAAGATATGAACATTTTCATAGAGTTAGCATCAGAAGTATATGACATGCTTATTATTTACTGGAGACACAAGCCCCGGATATTAAAAGGTTGTTATGATGATTATTTTACTTGGTATGAGATTGCATTTTTGTTAAAATCTTGAAAGTATCTAACTACTACATTTCAGGAAATAAACAGAATATTTAGCATAGTCTTGAAAATATAGATAGAGCAATAAGACAAGAGAAAGATGAAAAGTTATGAATAAATAGAAAAGGAAAAATCAAAGGATCTCTACTTGCAGATGGCATGATGCCATACTTAAAAGGCCCTAAAGATTCCACCAGAAAACTCTTAGGCCCCCATTTTCAGCAAAATATTAGGGTACAAAATCTTCATACAATCATCAGTACTACTTATAATGAACGTACTTATAAAAATTACATTCACAATAGCTTTAAAAAATACCTTGGAAAAACTCAACTCAGGAACTGCAAGACCTCGACAAAGAAAACTTTGAGACACTAAAGAAAACCTCCCCTGATTGTGGCTTGACCGAATTAAGAGTGTGAAAATGGACATATTACTAAAAGCAATCTACAGAGTCAACACAATCCCAATAAATTCCAATGACTCTCTTCACAAAACACCACCACAACAACAGCAATTTTAAAGTGCATATGGACGCACAAAGGACCTCAAATAGTAAAACCAGCTCTGAGCAGAAAGAGTAACGCTGGAGGTATCACAGCACTTGATCCTCGGATTACACCAAAGAGCCATAGTGAGAAAAATTACGTGGTGCTGGCAGAAAAAAAAATTATAAGCCAATGGAACAGAATAAGGGATCTACAAGCAAACCTACACAGCAACAAAACTATCAAACTCACACTACTGTGGAAAGAGTTTACTCTTACGTGTTGAGTTTAATATTACAGTTGATGAGCGCTTTAACTGTCAATCTGACACAACCTATACAGTCACCTGGGAAGAGAGCTGGTCTGTAGGTGACCTCTTAACTACATTAACTCTTGTGGGAAGACCCAGTCCATCGCGGACAGCACTGTTCTCTAGGTAGGGGTTACTGAACTATGTAAGAGTGGAAAAAAAAGAGTTGAGCACAAGCAAGCAAGCAATTATGCTGGAACCGTCTATAGAAGAATGAAACTAGAAATGTACTTCTCTACTGTGCAAAAAAAAAAAAAAAAGGACCTAATGCATTCTAAGACCTAAAACAACTGGAGGAAAACATGGAAAACACCTGAAGCAAAGGCATGGACGAGGGACTTATGAAAAGGGCTCTTATGACAAAAGGTATAATCCCAAGGGTTAACAAATGGGATTATATGAAATTTAAAAGGCTTCTCAATAGCAAAGCAAATAGCCACTAGAGTGAAGAGACTGCCTGCAGATGGGGAAAGCTTTGCTAACTACACACAAAAGGGATCAGTATCTAGCACCGGTTCTCAACCTTCCTAATGCTGCAGCCTTTAATATAGTTCCCCATGTTGTGACCCCAACCATAAAATTATGTCATTGCTGCTTCTTAACTGCAAGTCTGATACTGTTGTGAATTGTAATGTAAATATCTGGTATGCAGACTACCTGATATGTGAACCCTGTGAAAGGGTCGTTTACTCCCAGAGGGGTGTGACCCATAGGTTGAGAACCCCCAATCTAAATGATTTAAAGAAATACAAAAGGTAAATACCAAAGCACAAATCTTTAGTAAATGGGCCAAGAGAATAAAGGTTTTCAAAATAAGAAATATAAATATTTGAGAGAATTTCAACATTTTCAGCCATCAGGGAAATGCAAATTAAAACTGCCTTGAGATTCTATCTCACCGTTAAGAATGGTTGTCATTAAGAAAACCAATCACCACAGATGCTGGTGAGGATGTGGCAGGGAAAGGAATTCTTATAAACAATAGTGGTAATGTAAGCTGGGCCAGCTTCTGTGGAAGTCCCCCAAGAAGCTAAAAATAGAACTGCCATGTGATAGCTCTACCACTCGTGGGTATAGACCCTAAGGACTCTAAGTCAATATACCACAGTGATACTGGCACATCCATGTTTATGGCTGCACTATTCCCTACAGCTAAAAAAAAAAAAAAATGGAACCATCTTATATATTCACCACCAGATGAAAAAATTGTTACATATCTACACAATGGATTTTTCAGCCATAAAAATGAAATTACTGTATTAAAATTTTTTTTGGAAAAGGCAAGGAACTGGGGATCAAACATTAAAGAAAATAAGACTATAAAAGGAAAACACTACATTTTCTATCATACACAGCATCTAGATTTAAATTGTGTATGTGTCATGGAAGTTCAAAGAGGACCATGAGAGGGGAAGAAAGGTCTTGAGGGAGGGAAGTCGGGGGAGAGGATGGAATTCAAACCACAAGGAAGGCAGAAAGGAGGACTACGTGGGGGAGGGCATCAGTAAGAGAGAGAGGAAAGGAATGTGGAGAAACTCAGTGGGGTGGGGGTGAATAAAAATACGGCATATTCGTAAAAAATGCCATAATGGACCCCATCACTCTGTATACTAACTTTAAAAAAAATTGACTATTTGAGTGTATATAATAGTAACTTCCATTCGTTGACACTCAGAGTTAAGAAAAGTAGAATTCTACGCACCGGAGATGTGAACAGTCTCTCACTAGGTGGCTCTCTTTCCCGTGAGTGGGCGGCGCGTTGGTGCTGGTGGAAGATTGGGCCCATTGTACTTCTGCGATCACCGCACGTCACAGCGCCACAGCGCATCACACTTGGCGCTTGATTACAGCATGAGGGGGGCATAGTTCACTTTCTATTTCGTTAATGACAATCTGTCCTTGAGATTTATTTCCAAGTGGGCTGTACTTTCGTTTCCTGAGAACTCAAACATGTTCCAAATAAACACCGTCCTAGTTTCTAATAGGCACTGGATTCAGGGAAGAATCTGGAAAGCGTTTGTTTAGGTAGCATGAAAAACCAGACGAAATCAGGGACCCAAACCAAAACCAAGATCCCATTGAAATACTGTTTTGAACTATATAGTGAAGACCGTATTCCTGGGAGATTTTATGACCTTACATAACTCTAAATCATTTTGGGATAGCTGCTTACATAACATTTCAATATGAATTGAAAATAAAATCTGTAAAATGCCAATAATTACTTCACTCCATCAGAATGACTTCCTCCGTGATAGACTCTATGTCATTGGGAGTCATTGTTTTACCCCTAAACGTGACACAAAAATAAATATACGCGAAAATTTTTTTCTCAAAATGGAAAATTATTTTCGTAGACTTCTTCATGCTGATAAATCCAGGTACTTCTTTTCATACAATTTTTTTCCTAATTAAAAAAGTGGCAAGTTCGAAAACATTGCGGACTTTTGAGGAGGGACAATTTTGGAGATGAGTCTTCGATGATGAAGCGTGATCCCACTGGGTGCCTCTGGAAGGGATGGCAATAGTCAACCTTCCCGATCACCTCAGCTCTCAGCAGCCTCTGCCGGGAGGGCTTGCAGGTCATGGAGTAGCAACTAGACCCATTGGGAAAAGTCGAACACTCCCGACTGCCTGCCGGAGCGGCATCACGGTTGCAGTGTGCAGTTCTCCTCCCTTAGGGACCCCCGTCAGGGGATGGGGGAGGGAGGAATCCCGCCTGCCAGCTTCAGGCAGTTGTGGGGGAAACTCCTTCCAGGTCCCCGCAGCCTGGCGCTGCAGTATCACCGTGGCTTTCCCGCTCCAACCCATCACCCGCCACCTTCAGACCCCGGGTTTTCTTCTCAGGCTCGGCCGTCTCCGCACCGGGCTCTAAGAGGAAACCATGGAGGTGGATTCCACCCGCGGAAGGGTGGAAATGCCCTTGGCAAAAGCCTCGGAAGGGGTATCCCCGCAATTTTTGCTGAGCGGGGGGGGGCAGGGGGGGTGAGGGAGGAGGAAATGGATTTCACTGTCTGGTGACTATCTCGATTCCCAACCTTTAGAGGGCAGGGAATCCAAGCGGGGAATCCTGGGCGGTTTCCCGGGAACCCGTTCCTCTAGGGGAGGGTCACCCTGTCTACACACAACGGTTACTATGACAATACAACCACAGCCTCCAGTTTCCATGGCAGCGGCCAGCCCAAAGCGATTGGTCTCCTTTCTATTTCTCCCTGGGCTCCGCCCTATCCTCCCCCCCCCCCACTCTCCCAGCGTGCACGGGGAGGGGCAGCTGAGGAGAGGGAGGCCTTTTGCGTCAGTCTTGGGCGCGCGAGGGAAGACAAGAGTCGAGGAATTGGCGGGCGGAACTGTAGGAGGAAGGGGTGGCGTTTCCGGTGGGGAAAAGTGGAGGAGTGGGAAAAAAGGAAGCGAGAAGTGGGCGGGCTGAGGGGGAGGAAGGCTTTGAGTGTGACTCCCGGCGGATTCGGGCTCGATGTTCGCGGGGAGCGTGGGGTGGCCCCCTCGCACGGGGGGAGAGGCGCGGACCATTAGGAAGCCGCCGAGCGCCGCCACCAACCCCCTCAGCGGGCGCGCAGGCGCCGCACAACTTGCTGACCCCAAAAGGGAGCGGTATAGAGAAGCGGAAATCACCCCGAGGGACCGGCACTGCTAAAGTCTCGCGAGAGCGAATCCGACTTCCTTCCTCTGGTTTTCCCTCCTCTTCCCCCGCCCCCTTCCCTTCTCCCTCCTCTTCCCCCTCCCGAGCCGAGCGTCCCTGTGTCCCACAGGCCGGAGCCGCAGCTAGAGCAGCTTTCCCTACTCCCTCCCCCTCGCCTCACTCACTCTCCCCCCCCCCACCCCGCGCCGAGCGAGGAGGAGTCGGAGGAGAGGAAGATGGCGGCGGCCGCCAGCACCCGCGGGGCTGCGGGGCCGCTCCGAGGAGCCTGAGAGACCCACGGAGGCTTCGCGGAGAGACGCGGCGGCGGAGGATGAGCCTGCAGAGCGCGCAGTATCTCCGGTGAGTGCCGAAGCCCGGCCGAGGCGTTGTGGGGACGGGAGGAGGCTTGGGGGCCAGGCACAGCGGACTCCGAGGTGGTGGGGGAGTTGCAGCGTCCTCCTGTCCCCGGGCCTGGGGGCGCGGGCAGCTCCGGGAGGGGGCGGGCACACACAGGGCTGCCTGATCCCCGGGCCGCCGAGCTGAGGTTCCGCGAAGCCGGGCGGTGAGCGGAGGGAGGTTGGGGAAGCGTGAAAGAGAACGTGTGTGCGCGCGCCTGTGGTCCCAGCCTGCGGGCCAGGGCGGGGAGAGGCACCCCGGGAGCGGGCAGCAACCCGGACTGGAGGTGGGTGTGGAGGGGTCTGCTCCCCACACCAGGGGAAGCGTGGAGTGTGGGCTGGAGCGTTGCGTGCCGAGAGTAGAGGCTGGAAGTCAGCGCACCTGGGGGGTTGGGAGGGCACGAACTGGAGGGCAAATTAGAGGAAGGGGAGGAACTGCAGGGAACCGGAGCTTGTTCTTTTTCTCGTGGGCTGGGAGTACGAGAAATAATGCCTTCTGTGGTTAGGTGGAGGGGTAGGGGGAACCCGAAAAGGAGAGAATGGATGGGGGAAATGAGGGAAGAGGGAGGTGCTATGAACAAGGTTATGTTCTCAGAAGAAACTGTAGTTGGAAGATACCATTCTGTGTGCATCATTAAGTGCGATGTAGGGAACTTGTATGTTGGAGATAGAGTGACGCATGGGTGTTGGTGTGCCTGTCTGTCGGTGTCTGGGGTGAGGGATTGATTGATGCACGCTTACAGAAGGCACACATGCATTGACACTACCTGACGTCGAGAACATTTTGAATGGAAAGACAGCAGCTGTTACACAGTCAGAATGGTTTCATGGATTCTGAGTAAAAGCTTGGAGGAAGCAAGAGGGGAAAATGAAGCCTTGATGGCACAGGGAAATAAGGTTAATTGCGGACTTGTGAAGACTTAGGAACCTAAAAACTGGTCTTTCAGGAACAACTTTTAAAAAGGCATGTCATATGGGAAGATGCTTTTTAAAGAGTGATTTCATACCTTGTGGAGAAGGGAGTCGAATGGGTAGATAACTGAGCGATGAACTTAATTTAACTGTTTAGAGATTAGCGAAGTGAAAGATCGATGTGTGAGGGTGGACCCACATATACTTATATTGCAAGAGAAGGTATGTTGTTAGGTGATACACGAGGTGACTGTTCTGTCCTTGAAAGTAGTTATTCATTTATACTGGAGAGAGTGGCACCCATGAAGCTTTGATGCATGAATTCCAGAGTTAGCACAGCATGTATGCCTGATACTGTAAGTTGACATCCTTTTTTCTTCTCTGCACCCTTGTTACTTATTGTATTAAGGAAACTTTAAATTATGGCTATAGGTTCTGTAGTCAGAAATAGAAACTACCAGGGCAGTTGTTAATCTGAAGGAATTTGCAGCCTAATATCCAGGAGGCAAGTAAGTGCACAGCACAGACTGGTGTAGTCATCACTACAAAGGGTGCCATGTTGATGAGTCCCAAGGCAGGAGATGACCCGAGCAACTGGGGGCATCAGGAAAGGCTTCCTTTGTTCATTTGCTCATTTGTATGCTTATGATTCATCAGTTGTTTGGTTGATCACCTGTATGGAAGGCATTGTACCAACTGCTAAGAATAGAAAGTAAGAACTCCACCCTCTTACAGAGCTTATGAGTTTGCTGGGCTTTAAAAGAAAAGAGCACTTAAACTCTAAGGCCCAGAAGTGAGTCCACAGGAGTTTAGATATTGAGGATCATATATCTGGTGTGTGAAAACGTTCCCATGCTCTTCTTCAGCTTCAGGCCAGCTTTCTGTGCTGTTTGTCTGTGCTCATTCTTTCCCCAAGTATGTATTGGTGGCTTTCTACAGTGTGGGAGCTGAGGTTCCACTGGTGAACATGGACAAATTTATCTTGATAGAAAATCAGTAAACATGAACAGATAAGAACACTAACGGATCCTTTGAAGTACTAGAAAGAAAAATAAAATAAGACCATGAATTTTATATAAACACAGTAGTTAAGGAAAACCTATTCTGTAACCTAAAAGGGCCTTGAATTTTATGATCTTTACTTTATAGATAAAATGGGTAAACATTAGAAAATTTGTGATGAGGGGTTTGGGATAAAGCTTCATTTGTTGAATACTCAGTTAACGGGCACTACGTAAAACTGGGTGTGAGGTAGCCAGTCTGGGATCCTGGCATTCTTTAAGTAGGGCGGTCAAAAGTTCAAGGTCATCCACGATTTGGCAAGGTCAAGGCCACCTGCGTTTAGTGAACCCGGGTCTCAAAGAAAGAAATCTGAGATGACTTGTTTAGAGGCAATCTATATGTTCATAGCTATGCTTTGGGAAAATTACTGTGTCATAAAATAGTGCATGTTTAAGGATTAAAATAAGGTCTTGGCAATCAGAGGGTGTGACGGCAGATAGATTGGGAAAATGCTGATACTTTTAATGCAAAGAAAGCTGACTTTGAGAAGCTTCTGTAGTTATGTTTCTTCTATTTTATAAATCAGCATGGAGGGAAGGATTATCTTTAGGTATGGAACCAGTGACAGCTCGGTGTGAATTTAGCTCGAGAATAGAGAAAACAGAATGAACAGAGTTTAAATGACTGATACATTTCCAGCTGCAATTGCCAGACAAAAAGAGGGCGGCCTGGGCTCTAGAATCCCTTCCGATTTCTCAGAGCCAGTTTTACTTTTGTGGATCTGTCCTACGTAAAGACAAGTTACAAGTCTGATACTTAGCAGTACACATAGGAGGAAGCTAGCCAGTAATAAAGATTTGTATTAGCTTCAGTTACCCTCTGAATTTCATTTAAAGACTGCTGAGGGTCTGGGTGGTGGTGGCACGTGCCTTTAATCCTAGCACTCAGGAAATAGAGGCAGGTGGGTCTCTGTGAATTCAAGGGTAGCCCGATCTACAAAGCTAGTTCCAGGACAGCTAAGGCTGTTACACAGAGAAACCCTCCCTGTGTTGAAGGAAAAAAAGAAAAGAAAAAGACTACTAAGGGGAGACTGGAGGGTATCTCCAAGGAAGTATTATGTTGAGTTCCTTTGAAAATAAAAGTGTTTTTTTTCCAATTTAGTAGATTTATTTTTATTTTATATATATGGGTGTTTTGCCTGCATTGATGTGCAGTGCCTGTGAAGCCCAGAAGAGGGTGTCAGATTCTTTGGAACTGGGGTTACAGATGGTTGTGAATAGCTGTGTGGATGCTAGGAATCTGAACTGGGACCTCTGGAAAAAAAAGCCAGTGCTCTTAACTGCTGAGCCATCTCTCCAGCCCTCAGAACAGCTGTTTTATAGTAACTTAGGGGAGGCAGCTTCTGACCTTGACTTTAGGAAGAGTTTTGTTGCCTGCCTTTGTCAGTGGGAGAAGACCGTGAGTGAACAGTTTTTAGACTGCATAGCTGCAGATTTTCCCTTGTGTAGAATGGAAATTTGTTTCCACTTAGCTGAATTTTAATTTTAATTTGTTAGAGTAAGTGAGCTGGGGTGTCTAGCATTGAAATGGTGGGGTAATGGAAATGTAGGAAAGGTGGCTGTTTCAAAGAGTGAGAAATAAGATTATGAAGTAAGACGTCTCGGTAAGAACAAGAAAGAGTGAACTTAGCATTAAGGGAACTGAATTCATCTCAAGCTAAAGAAATAGCAGAGATGAAAAGAAAACCTGTGTAGAGGAAAGAGATGGTACTGTGAACAAGAAAAGATTGTGCATTTCTCTCAGCATTATCCTTTCGTCCCCAGCAGTAGGCTGGCCTGACTCCTGCTCAAATGGGTGTTGAAAAGACTTAATTTTTGTAAATTAAGAATGACTTTTTTGAAAGAGTGGAAATTAATAGACCAAAGGCACTGACTTGGGTTTCTATTTCTGTGATAAAAAGCCATGATGAAAAAGTGGGTTGGGGAGAAAAGGGTTTATTTCATCTTAGACTTTATAGTCCGCCATCATTCAGGGAAATCAAGGCAGGAACTTTGGAAGAAGTGATGAAGAGGAGTGCTGTTTACTGGCTTGCTCAGCCTGCTTTCTTATACCATGAGGACCATCTGTATAGCAGTGTCATCACCGCCAATTTGCTGAGCCCTCCCACATCAATTGCTCCAGAAAATGCCCCGCCCCCCAACTGTCCTACAGGCAATCTGATGGAGACACTTTCCCACTTGAGGGCCTCTTCCCAGGCAACTTTAATGTGTGCCAAGTTGACAAACTAGCCAGGACACACAGAGAAATGGGGATGAAGGAAGCAGGCTTTAAAATACATGACAGAGAAGACATTGAAGTTCTGAAATATGAGAAAGAGGAGTAATCATAGCCGTAGACCGTACTAATCAAACAAGTCAAATCTTATTATAAAAGGTGTCAAGAAGTGTTAGCAAATAGCATCCGCTGCCATTGTGAGAAGTACTATTTCTATTTTGTATACCTTCCTACTTTGTTTTCTTTGTTCTTTGTCTTAAATGTTCTTCTATGCTGTGGGTGTTTCAGTGAAAATCAACTTGGAGTTGATTCTCTGGTGTTAGACTCCTTTACAGAAATGGTCCATAAATGCTCCTTGAAATGCCTCTGTTGAAAGGACATTCTAATGTCATATTCCATGTTAGAAACTTTGGAGCCAGAAATGAAGCAGCAGCCAAAGAATTGATTGTTTTTCGAGGCAACAGCAAAATGATTGTCAATTTCTCTATTGTTGTAAGATAAAATACCTTATGGTAAATCTTGACTGAGGCTAGATAAAGTAGCAAGCATAATCTTAGCTTGGTGAGAGGAGCAGGGAGGATAGAGTATTAGGAGAAATAGATAATTAAGTGGAGTGGGCTCTTCTTTCTAGAACAGTCTGGCAGTGCCTGGTCTATTGTTTCCTCACCCCTTCCCAACACACTCTGAGCCTTTCTAAGATTTGAAGTAGCCTCAATTCCAGAAAATCGGTCAAACATGGCTGGTTGACCAAATATGGCAATTTTTTTTTAAACTAGA